GTACCGTTGAGTCGAAAAGGTGGACACGGATTCGGGTGTTCTTTGTTCCCTTCACTACATCCTCGATGCTCTTGAAAGCTCTCCAAGCTGCTCGTTTCCTTCTGCTCAGCTCTGGAGCTAAGTCGTTCAACATGTTGATTTTCCGACCCAGATAGACATAATTGGAGCATTCGGAGGTACTCGCACCGTTTAGCGTGAATGAGGCATACCAAACCAATCCTTTTCTCCTGAACATCGTTTTACGAGACTTGATCGAAGACCATTCTTTCCAAGGGTGTTGCCAAGGTCTGCAAGCATTCGCTCCATTTTGCTAGTGCTTCGTATTATTTGAACGATTTCATCAGCATAACGAAGGTGGTACAATTGCCGACCATCGATTTTCACTCCATATTGTCCCATCCCAGTGTTTGCATGACGTTCTCGAGGGTGGCAGTAAATAATTTTGGTTGGTTGGTATCGCTTTGCCTGACTCCTCTTTTGACATCGATATTAATATCGTTTTAGAATGGTGATATTTTGTTTGTGAATTTTTTATTTAGCTCACGAAGAATTTTTGTATGCTGAGTAGGGAGCCTTTGGATTTCCAGGATTGTCAGGACTGCTTCTATCTCAGCTGAGTCTAACCTTTCCTTAAACTGATGAAAGTGAGGCAGAGCCGTCTCTTATATTCTCGCGATACTTCAGTGAGTCTTGTTATCGTATGGATGTGGTCCATCGTCCTGAATCCTTTCCCAAAGCATGCTTGCTCACGTGGCTGTCAATCTTGTTTAGGATCACTCGACTGAAAACTTTGTTAACGACGAACATTAAGCAGATTGGATGATAGTTCCAGATATCGTGGAAACCACAATGCTTAAACAATGGCACAGCCTTGCTAGTTTCCCAGTGAATAGAAACCTTGGATTCTTACAGGTAACGTGTGAAGAGCTGAACCAGTGTCTTGAAGAGGGTACTGGAGGTTTCTTCAGATGCTCAGCTTTTATTCTGTTTGTACCTGGTGTTGTTCGATTCTTACTTACTTGATACTTGATATTTGAATGACCCGTCCTCACTGGTTGTGCGGGCCCCAGCATAATCACCACTTTTTGGAGATTTGCTGGTTAAGTCATCATGGTTCCCTGGAGTCCCGAGCTCAGCCTGGCCAAGGTCTGCCCTGGGTCTTCACCAACACAGGTAGTAGCAGCCCATGTTGATCAGAGGGAGATTTACCACCACGCGACTTTGATACGGCGACGGTGGTGGATCCTGATATTGGTTTATGCTTAAGTATACTTCAACACCGGACTCCTTCTCAGCTCGGGAGACCCTGCCAGGGGATGAATCCCCCGCTGTACATCGCAGTCCGGCTCCCAGGAACACCTCCCAGCCACGATGGGGCGGTAAATCGTTGGGAGATTGTTCGACTCTTCACCAACAAAATAGTATGTCGGATTTCGGAAAGAAGAACTGGTGGGACGAGATATTCATCATGCTTTATTTCGCATGAGGGAACTACCTCATGAGGAAAAGTCGGAATAGCTACTGAATAGATCCGAATATAAATTGTGAGTGTTTTTTCATTACCTTTCCGGAAGCTGTAGCTGTTCCATCTGAACGTGCGAGTGTAAACATTTTAGCTTTGCAATCGGCGAAGCCTCGGTGGGGTTCGCGAATGCTTTTCTCAGCCTCCGCAACTTCGAGCATAGCTGCTGCTCTTCTGTCTTTAAAATTTTTTATCACCTGTCTACATTGTTTTGCAAGCTCAGACATCACATAACGGTAGCTTATAGCTGGTGCGATTCAACGTTGGCATATCCATCGGTCAGCTCGATTGGTTCTGAAGAGAGAGTTTTTTGGATACTCTTTTGCTCTCAGATTTCACAGCGTTAGCCTGAAGATGTTGAATGAACCGATACGCATTCCTCGTAAGCCTTATCAATAACATGTGATCCCATGTAGAATTTTGGGATAACAGTGACATCGGTAAGGCAAAATCTTCTATTTAATATGATTTCGCCTAATTCGTTATGGTACTCTCCATTGGGAGACTCTCACGTGCAGCGTTGAGAGTGGGGCTTCTGGAATTGGGAGTTACCATGGATGGTCTTGGTCGTCATGATAAGCTCGGACAGTCGCTCAACCTGTTCGTTCCATTCTAAACCGTGGGTCCCAATGCGAAGTTCTTTAGACGTTCTCTTGGCCCAGTTTTAGCGTTGAAATCTCCAATAATGACCTTAAAGAATGCGTGGTCTTCTCTGAAGAACTTCTTCGAGTCCGTACAGAACGCTTCGACGTCATCTTCGTCGTAGTTTAACGTCACTGCGTAGACGATGAAGATTGTCAACGCCGGTGTCGATCCATATCTATCCAATCGTAATCTTCCGATTCGGGTTAATTGTTGGAATAAATATATGTTCATGACCAAACTCGTGTTGACGAAAGCACCGACTCCGCCTACTTTTTTATCGCATGTTCCGAGTAACACTTCTTCTTCAGTGTCATAGGCGGCCTTGAATGGGTGGCGTTTTCTCGTCTCGGCTAGTCCGGTGGTGTCGTATCGTATTTCTTCCTGCATGATCAAATCTGTCGAAGACTCAGATGCAAGTGTGCAAGCATTGTCGGTACCAATCTTCACCTTTATTCTTTGCAGCCAAGAGTGGCCCTGAGACTTCAGCGGCCTTTCCGTGCTCGTCCTATCCAACGCCGGCATATCGACGGCTCCTTGTGGTTCAAGGGAATGTGGTCCACCTATTTTACCGTCTTTAGCGCCTGATACTGATGCATAGGTTGCAGAGCTTTGAGAGTGGGACTAGATATACCAAGGGGTAGGTTGCGAGTCTCACGTAGTTCTTTTTGAAGGTTTTATTTTTATCCCATGAAGTGCTTCATCCTCCAACTGGTTTACCGCCTCATCGTGGCTGGGAGGTGTTCCTGGGTGTCGGACTGTGATGTACAGCAGGATGATTTATCTCCCAAGCAGGGTCTCCCAAGCTATGAACGAATCCGGTGTTTCCATCAGGAAGCGTAGCTAAGAGTAAACCAATACCAGGATTCACCACCGTCTTGGTAATCAAACTAGTGACGTGGTGGTAAATTTTCCTCTAATCCACAAAGGCGGCCACTACCCCTAAATGGTGACGACCTGTGGCAGACTTAGGCCAGATTGACCTGGGCACTCCAAGGAGCCAGAATGGCTAAACAAACAGAACTCCGAAAAGTGGAGACTCTGCTGGGGCCCGCTCAACCAATGAGGACGGGCCGTCGAAGCGTCCAAGTGTGAAGTGCTTCATTTGTATTTTTGATATTCGTTGCAGCAGTCCTTCCTACATATGTTTAGTAGCTTCTCTTACAATTTTGTGAGAGTTTGCCACCGTTTTTCAACTGAAACTTATGGAAAGGGAACAAGCTACCGCCGTTGACACTTCGTCCGACAACAAGTTTGCCATGTTTTATTGAGGACATTAGTGCACGTGCATTGCAGTGTCATAGTTTTTCGTTCCTTATTGAAGTGATTATTACCTGTGTCATGAGCATTGGTATGACCTCTGTCGTTCTATGTTCACGGTAGTTTTCGTCCGAGTTATTGCCGATCGACGACTTCGATTCCTGATAATCTTTTCGATGTTCCATTTTACCACACTGTACTTGAATCATGTTACAAGTACTGGGGTACCTGGGATACACACTGTTTGCATCTGTCTGGAAGACATGGGTCGTATACTGTATTCAGTAGAATATAGTTTCATTTTTATGCAATTCATAACGAAATCGAGTGTGAAAAACCTATTTTGTCTCCAATGCGATTAAAATTTGGTTTCGTGGTTTTTTTGAAGCTATGAAGTCGCTCACTAGGTTGCAGTCAACTTCACCTTTCTAGGCTCTCAAGAAAGGCAAATCCACCGAAACCTCGGTTTATGTGAACAAATAGTATAGTAGCAACCTTTTGTGCGCTCATCAAGAAGTCAGAATTACTGATTACTTTGGTGGTCAACTGAAACTCGGTCTCGAGAATCTACTGATAGGCTTCTTTCCGTAAACTATTCAGAAATCTCAGAAAATATCAACTGTATTAATCCGGCCATCCTAAGTCCTTATGTCCACAAGATGTCCAATATTCTTTTTTCTCTTGATGGAAAGACGCCTCGTGAATTATTACAGGATGGACGCGGACGTCGGACCTCAATCCAGAACAATGGAAGTATTCTGTTTATAAACATGCTGGGACTATTCTGTCCTGTTTTTCTCTTCTTTCAGTTCCAAACATAACTTTCTTCCTTACTGTTTATCTCTTTGATGCAATATCTAAGTTACAGCCGTAAACATTATTCGATTAACTTCTTTTAGCACGAATGCGAAAGGGAGAAATTCCTGTTCTCTTCTGTTCTCTGTACTGCTGGAAGATCGTAGCATGCAGCTAGCACTATTTAGTATACTCATGTGACCATTCTGAACAACAAGTTTACTCGTCTTAGTGCTTAAATAAGATGAAGATGGATGACATCTGAACGATGAAATGCATTCTGAAGCCAATCGTTTCTCGCGACTGGACCAATATGAATGAAAAGTCGTCTTCTCCTGAAGACCTGAAATCAACGACATTTCGAAGTCGAACTGATATGATTGAGAAGTCGTCTTCATCTCAAGAAATTCTGAAGTGAACGCGTTCTCCGAACTGAACTACAATTTCTTCATCGTATGTGAACCCCTTACGGGTGGTCTCACTCTTTAGAAATGATAAAATAAAACAGCTTTGAAGGGAAAGTCGCCGGAACGTCAATCATTGAGCGTCAAGAATACCTAATAACATCCCCTTCACGGCTCAAAAAAGGAGAGCTCGTATGAAGCGATATGAATGAGAAGTCGTGGTCATTTGAAGCTCTCCTCTCATGAACGTAGGCCCATGAATTTCCCATGGGGGTATCCATCCATCATACGGCGAGTGGAGCTGTGCTGGTGGCAAAGCTGACCCACGTGTGAACGGATATGAGTGAGAAGTGGTGATCGCTTGAAGCTTTCCGTCCATGAACCTGGGTCCATGGATTTCCCATGGAGCATCCGAGTGGAGCTGTGGTGGTGGCAAAGCTGACCCACAGCTGACCAGTTATCTCGAGTGCCCACCACGTCAAATTGGTCCTAGGAACAACGGGGACGGCGACCAGCAAGGGGCAGGCACAGCTGTGGACGAGGCCGTTCATCGATCGACACCGAGGGGGGTTGTTGGGGTTGTTCGTCGCGCTCTGTGCTGCCTGTTCTCCAATGCCGGCATTCGTCGCCGTTCATCTTTCCGTGTTATCCATCATTTATAAAAAGTAGTTTAGAAGAAAAAGTCCACAAATTGACTTTACTCCTCATAGATTGCATTTTTCCCCCGGAGCTTCTTTTCTTAGTTCAAAGTCCTAATTATTAAAAGCGTTCGAGTTGATGCAAGCTTCCATACTGGCTTCATACTTTTTTCAACGGAGTTCTCAAATTCACCCAAAAGAAGTTTTCAGAGGTTCCTTTGATGATATCGGGTCATCCAAAGGTGACATTTTTGGGCTTAAAAGTAACGCTTATTGGCTTGGGATGAAATTTACGTCTCATTTTTACTTCCGATTAGTGATGCTTTCTGGTCATCTTTCCATTCTCTTCCAGCTTTTTCTTTTCTTTTGTCTCTGGATCAATGACATCTGTTTTTGAGCTGTTTTCAGGCTTACTATATTGTGCTGTCCGTTAGTTCCTAAAAAGGTGCTGTCACTAGCGGACCATCCTGTTTGTTGTTTTTTTTTCTCCACCAACAATGTCTCTCTTTTACGTGCAAAGATGAACACTTCCATCCTTCTTTTCACATTGAATGCTTCCGATCATTTAGGTTTTCTTCAAGGGTCCTTCCTCTGTCACTAGCTTAAGGTAGTTATTTATTGCGGAACGGACTTATATTATTTATTTATTTGTTTATTTGTTCATTTATTTATTTGTTTATTTACTTAGACATGTTCCTTTACATTCTTGCTGAGCAAGCACGAGGTGTCACTTTATTTCTTTATTTACGAAAGAGCTGACGTTTCGGCTGATTTCGCCTTCCTCAGGACGTGGAAAGGTGAGGTTGACCGCAGTCTATCCACCCAGACACCTCCATAACCAAACAGGGAAAACTGATATTCTTTTACGTCTAGGTTCACTGGAAGTAGATTCACTAACAAGTAACAATCACACGATTTTTGATGCCATGGATCTAAAGGATTTGGATTTTTCATTCCAGTCACGCGATTCTCTATCCATCAGTTTAGAGGATTTGGCTTTTTTATTCAGGAATCTATGACTTGATGTTGCACCGCTTGTGGGATTCTCATCCTAAGAGACACCAGGGATATTTTTTTTGGAAGAGAAGTAGTTCTTCTTGCTAGGGATTAACGTACGTATTTGAGTCAATCCTTTTAGACATCTTCAAAACGGTAGAGGAAGAACGTTAATATTGGAGCCTATAAGATGTTGTTTTTTTGCTTTTTGTTTACTACTGTCCTCAGCCAATCAATTCTTTTTTAGGGCCTGTGAATCTGTTGACCTCGAAAGTCGCGCTTCACATTTAAAACCTAAAGAGTTCCATGTTCATCTCAAGTACTTTTTCTATTACCCACCTATGGAAAGTATTCGTTGATTACGTTGACTTTCTGATGTCACGTGATTAACTAGGGGTATTCCTTTCACTAGGCTTCCAATTTTTCTCCATTCCGCTAAGTAGGGGATAGTGTACAAATTCATTTGTGGTGAATAGAGTTTTCATCGTTTTGTTCAATCGAAGGCTGATTTTTTCATCATTCTGTCAGATTGAATCAGCATTCGTTATGCTCCGGTTTTCTTAAGTGAAGAGTAAAGGAAACTTAAGGGAATTTAAACCTTTCTATCAACTACCGATATCGATTTTTTCGTAAGGCGTTCTTGAAAATGATATTGGAGATCTTGAGTCTTGGCAGTGCTACGTTACGTTATTTGTCAGTTAATTAGATACTGACCGGTGCAGGACGCACTGCCAGTTAAGAGCCGATAATATTGGAGAGGCAGCAATAAATTTTGGGTGTGTCCGTCCAGTATGAAAGCGGTCCGCCAACAGAGAGGTTCTGCACTCGAGCGCTGCTCCTCATCTCTCGATTCGATTCAATTCGACAACGAACACTCGCATGGCAAGGGTGACCAGCCGTGGACTATCGATTCGGATCAATTCGGCCCTGAAGAAGGCGAAGGAGTCAAAACGTTAACCGAATAAATATTTTCAAATAAATACTTTTATTGATGTTGAAATATTTGCAAAACTCCGGACCACGGGTGTTTGCGGTGGGGAACGAACGTACTATTACCCTTTCTGCGGGCTAACGCGTTCACCATCACATCATGTGGGTCTTTCGTTTCGCCTGTCGCTCACCTAGTTTTTTATCTACCTATTTTTATTATCTATCTATATCTATCTATTTATCTATTTTATATCTCGAAAACTAGCTGGGAGATAGGCGAAACGAAGGACCCGCATGGTGTGGTGGCGGGCGCGTTAGCCCCCAAAAAGGACAATAGCGCGTTTGTTTCTCACCACAGACACGCAAGCATCTGCGGTTTGGAATTTTGCAAATATCTCGGCATCAATATCGTTGTATTTCATATAATACTTGATACTTGATAGTTGAACGACCCCTCACTATTTATGCGGGCCCCAGCATAATCACCACTTTTCGGAGGTTTGCTGGTTAAGTCATTGTGGTTCCCTGGAATCCCGAGCTTAGCCTGGCCAAACTCTGCGCTAGGTCTTCATCACCACAGGCAATCGCAGCCCTTGTGGATCAGAGGGAGATTTGCCACCATGCGACATTGATACCAGGACGGTGGTGGGTCCTGGTATTGGTTTACTCTCAGTTACTTTTTCTCATCCTCGGAGATCCTGCCAGAATCCCACCGCTGTACAGCGCAGTCCGACACCCAGGAAAACCTCCCAGCCACGATGATGCGGTAAACCGTTGGGAGGATTTCACATAATATCTCTCCGTAAAAGAACTTCAGTAAGCAGCAGAGGGTTAAATATTTTTATGCCAAACTCGTTTCAGTTCAATAATCTGGAAAAGTATTGACATTGAATAGTTTGCATGAGATCGTATCGCTTTGTCGAACCCATTCTGTCACACCATGAGTTTCTGCCTAAACAATTGAAAGCCAAGCCGATTAAAGTGGGACGTATCGATACCTGCACACCGGCTATACCACTTTTTGCACTCTTATGAATACGATTGAACATCTTGAAACGTTTTCGAAATCTTCCTTGTTCGTCTGGGCATTTTCCATCCAGCCGTTAATCATGTTGGCAATGGGTCTATTAAAACGTTCGCAGGTGGGTTGTCGTTGCCGAAGTCGTGTAAGCTTCCCTTTTTGTACCTGATTTCGTTGTCGTTGTCTAGGTAGGTTATTTTCCGATAACTTACATGTGAAAGGTGATGACTGCATTAGTGGCGAAGTAAGTGGCCGCTTTGTTACCCAAGATTAGCAGAGGTTCTTTCTTCAAGTCCTATACTATTGATTGGTGGTAATCTGTGAGCCTACACCGACAAGCAGTTGGTCAGACCTGATGTCGCTTTAGCGAAATAGCAGTTTCATCTAAAATGGAATGAACTTAGTTGCATATGGATATTAGAGAGGTCAAAGTTGAGGTTATAAGTGATTTTTGTTATCTGTGGTGGATATAGGGGCTTTTCCATCTGGACGTCGACGGCAATCATCCGCTGTGGTTGTAAAGCTTCTTTTGGAGGTTACAGATACGCGTCTGAGGCTGACCACCTTCATCCATTGCTGATGCATTTCTACCATTGACATCTTTTTTGATCGTACGGCTGCAGTGGGTTACACACTCAGACACCAGTTGCTGCTCACTTGGTTCCGTTCTATACTTCGCATGGTGAGGTGCTTTATGAGCTATTGTCCAGAAGCCTTCTAAAAATTTGAAAGGATCGTCGGTAATGGAATGTTATCTGTTAAGAGACGACCTTATCGTTCATTGTTGTAAAGAATTCTTCTGGAGTTGCGAATTATCATGATATTGTCTTGGTTATCACTACGACGGAAACGGCTTGTTTATTCCATCCTTGTCGATGAGTTTGATGAACAATGAAGTTGTCCAAATGTTCTCCTAAGGTCGGTTTTGATGTTCAGTTCGCCAACGGTATCCTTGTAGAATATTGGTCTTTTTTCAAGAAAAACGAGTTGTTTATGTCCATGTATAAGAACTTGGTCCCATCTTCGCTGTTATTTGAAATTGGCTGTATCCATGCACAAGGACTTAGTCTCATCGTCACCGTAATATGATGTTGGAGCAGAACTGTAAAAGAGTAAAGACTTCAAGGTGAGATATTGTGGAACGTATAGTCTGCATATAAACCTACACTCTAATGCCAACAGTGTTCATGCTCGGTATATCTCTTAAATATAAACGAAAGGTCAGTTGAACTAAACAGAGACTGGGAACACATCTTAAGACAACTGCATCTCAAAACAAGTAGTATATGTGCTCAGTCTTGGTTGACTTCTACCGTTTTATCCATCATTTACGAACATACCATGCAACATGCCTCGCAGGAGCGCGTGTAGCGCAGTGATCGGAGACGCCGTGCAACACACATGTGGAATCAATCTCTGCGCTCGTGGCTCACCAAGCCTTCCATCCCTCCGGGGTCGACAAATTGGTACCACACTTGTCTCGGAGGATAGCAGCACTGGCTTAATATATCGGTAGGCCACCGCGAGTCATTATAAAGACCAGATATGTATCCAATCGTCTCCAGCGATGCTTAATGGAGTCGAATGCATGGCGCATCCTTGAGGAAGTAAAACGTCTCCACTAATCTACTGAAGTTCCATCATATTACTTATTCATAAAGGGTTGTTTGTACTTTCTATCATTATTGCCTACCTGGTATAACATCAGTATGCGCATTGATTGCGTCAATATTTCAATTCCATTGTTTTTTCTCTAATTCTGTAACCGTTTTCTTTTATCCAATTCATTGCTGTCTATTGGTATTGCAGATAGAAGTGCAACGATTCGGTACCGTCGTTGCTGCCTGCGGTAGCAAGCATTTGGCTGGATGCTTGAACAGGATCTGACTCATTTACCTGAAGATGTTCGCGAGCAGTTGGCGATTTTGGAGTTAGAATTAAGCGAAGGTTGGCAAAATAAGTCTCGTATACCCTTTGCCTAGTAACAGTCTTCTTTTCCTCGGTAAGTATTGCTTGATGTAATGTATGTTGGTTTAAGGTTTCCGATAAGTCCTTTTTGAAATGCACGCCAGCTTAAAAGCCACTGGAGTAATTTTCTTTCTTTCCGAGTTTAACTTGTTTGTATAGTCTTTGCTTTTTTTGCTTTTTTGCATCATTTTTCTACTACCGTGGTGGTAACGCAGTGACGGTGGTTTTTCATCAGAATTGCCACAGGATTTTCGTCATTGAATCTCTCAAGGTTTTCAAATTTGAGCGCGTCATTTCCACATGAGAATTACTGAAATTATTCAGAAGGTACGGAGGAACATTTTTGAGTACTGTGTTTGTTTTTATATTTAAGACTTAAGAGATAAACGCATCACGTTAGATGGTGACTGCGTGGTACGAGGCCTAGTAGTGTCTGAGCACATGCGCTGTGAATTGAAATCATTTCGTCTCTGTCGATCTAATTTTCATGTATGATTCATACAAGCTTATCTTTATTAACAACAGTTTTGCGCTACTTGTTAGTACGAGGATCAGTTCAGTTTCATCGGACTCACTCAGGACACTGGTACACCTCGGTACTGCTGTTCTCTTGACCTGCGATATTCTGTTATCATGGTAGATTCCTGGCTAGCAACAGTCTCTGTGGCTTAGAAGATAAGAAAGTAGCTTACATATTGTTAGCATATGGAATAGTCGTTTTGGGTCAACGCTTTGTACATCATCTTTGTAGGTTACGCTATTCGACGGAGTGCGAAAACTATGGAAAGTTTTTTTTTGCGACAAAACAAACGACCGAAAAGAAAATTGGTAAACGCAGTTAGCCTAGACCCTTAACTTTGAAAGAGCGGTTCCATATAAAGGAGACCAGCATATTTAATTTAGAAATATGAAATCAATTCTAACGAAAACTTGAGAAGCGGATTTACCAAAGCTGTGAATGCTCTCAAAACAACACCATTTAGTTTGGAACTGCTATGTGATAGGACATGTGTTTTGCAGGCATACAGTTTTTGGAACTCGGCTATCGTTTGAGGAGTACTTCTCCTCACATCTTTATTAAAAAGTTTGTTACTTTGCTTATGGAAGCATTCTCTGTCATTTAGAGATTTTTACTGATAGAGAAATTAGTTCCACTGTTTTTTTAAACGACCCATCTTTTATATTTACTGTGCGGGTCCCTTACTTCTTTTCGCATTGGATTCATTTCCACCGATCCATCGTCCACTAAGCTCTTCCAAGTTTTACGCATGGCTTCAGCTACTGCTTGCGAATTTTCATCTCGTCATTAATGTCGTTGAATGCTGGTCGAGTCAATTCTCGATCGCAGTCCCGATATAGCGGGCGTTCCCAGTTAGATAGCAGAGAGTGAATTCTTCCCAGATAAGTTCGGTACAAATTTCGGAACTTCGGAGTGATCAGAGGCTTGGTGAGCTGGGTGCGGCTTAGAACTAGACTAGCACTGTGCTCGTGATGATCGGCATCGCTAGCACTGCGCTATCCACCCCCTAGTACCGTTATTGTTCACCGGAGTTCTGCGGTAGTTGGTATATGTTTTCAATTTTTAAAAAATATTATTGTATGTTGCGATAGGTTCTACTAGTTCTACTAAATATTTTCTTCAGGTGATATTACACAAAAAGGCTACGAAAAGAAACGGAGCTTGATCTTTGCGAAATATTGTAAAGGCTACAGTGCAGGTTCGTGTTGTTCTATTTATATATAGGTAACACTGAGTTGCACTTCAAATCTATGCCTTATCAGTGCTAGTACTTTTCATGTTCGCAGCCTATTTTAAACATCGTTGAGACTCTGTTGTCCGATTTTCTATTAACTTCGGAATCGAGGAGTAATTCGCTACTATCTTGATGAGCGCAAGCGAGGTTGTTATTAAATATTATTTGTTCAGAACAGCTGACGTTTAGGCGGATTTCGGCTTCTTCGGATCCGCTGCAGAGGTTAAGTTCGCTTCAACCTGATCGGCTAAACACCTCCATAACCTCGACAAGAAGAGCTACGACACCTAATTTTCAATCACATTGAAAGAAAACACCTTCATACACCCTCCGCCCTCTGTGACTCTACTGCTGAGTGTTCCACGTAGAAACCAGTCGTACGGTTCTAACATGGATGAGTAAGGAACCCTTTTTATGTTAAAATATCACTCTTAGTTAATAACAATGCTCCATCGTATTAATAACATTGAAAATAGCAATAATATTCTCAGAGTGATATTTTAACGTAAGAGAGGCTTATAACTCATGCACATAAGCTGTAAATGGTTGATCTGTACATGGAATGCTCAGTGGAAGACTCATAGAGAGCAGTGATTGGGTAAAGAAACTGTTTTGCTTTAACGTGGTTGGAAATTGGGTATCCTGGTTTTTCTGTCGGTGTTATGGAGGGGTTTAGCTAGATAGGTCGCAGTTAACTTGACCTTCCCACGTTCTAAAGAAGACGAAATCCACCGAAACATCAGCTATTGTGAATAAATAGTGTCTAGCAGCAACTTCGTGTTTGCTTATCAAGAAAGTAGCCAACCTGGAGATTATCAATCGTAGATAGGTCCAGAAGGGTTTCATTGTTCCGGCAAGTAAGTTGTTCCTAATTTCACGGTCTTTTGTATGTATCAAGGCTTTATTCGGCTAAATGTTTTTAAACCATAATATTTGGTCATGCTTTATAGTGCTGATAATTTTTATGGTGTGGGAATTTCTACTGAATTCTATGTAGTATTTTAATATTTAAGGGCGCACGTAGCGCCGTGGTCGGTGGCCCCCTTAAATACACATGGGACCGATCCCACCGCGCCATCTGACCAAGTTTTCCATCCCTGTGGGGTGGGCGAATTGGTACCAGACTTCTCTGAGGAGATAGCAGCACTGGCTCGGTACATCAGTAAGCCACCACGAGTCAACATAAAGGCCAGATATGCATTCAATCCTTCCAATAGTACTTAATGAAGTCGAATGCATGAAGCATCCCTTAGGGATTGATCGACGGCGAAAGCTTTATTCTTATTTTTTTTAATATTGTCTAATACGAACTATGGCGATGATTATAGGATGGTCGCACACTGCTGCGCCTTAGGCCATTTTATCACCAGTACATTTTGACATCAAAAAATTTGGACTAGATGCTGTTCAGGTCCTGGCCAGTCCAAATGCAGTCCCGGTACTCGTGCTCGTCGTCAACATCAACGACGCCTCACCCGAGATGAGTCAAGATTCCATTCAGGTAAATGTTTTCAGGGTTAAAATTAGACCATAATTGCTTATGTCTTGAGGTCTCTGTGATGTTTTCGTTACCATGCGTACCAACTGCTATTTTTAATTCCTCTAGTCATTCCATCACTTTTATCAGCGATGTAATATGTCATATATGTTATGCAATCTTTTTTCCACTACTCGGTCAGTGCTAATGTTGAAACAATTACAAAGTGCCATTGGGAAAGAAGAAGGAAATGCCAGAGGTGCTGATGCTATTAAGGGAGACGGTTTAGTCTACCGAGATCTTTCATATGCTTTTAAATGCAAGAATTGATGGCTACAAGTTACCTTGGCCCAAGAAAAAAAGACTTCAATACTTTAAAGCGGTGTAAGTTTTGTGTAAAGAGATTCTGGTGAAGGTAATAGATAGTTTGATACGTAAATAAATGAGAATGTGGAAGTGTTTCCTAATATCGCTCATGATATGGTCTCCATTTGCAACAATTTCTTGTTGAACTGTAACGCCGCTTCCCTTCATCATTACTTTATAACATATCGACGTTATGTTGCTATAATTTGGTGATAAGTGCCGTCTTTTTCAGAGATTCGAGCAGAAGCAGTACAACAAGCGCTGGCGGAATATTCGCACGGCAACAAAGTTCTTCCTGGTGTTGTCCAACCTGTCAAGCGCGCTTCTGAAGCTCGTTGTCACCTCAGCCGTGCGTCAGGTTTGAGTTATTAGTAAAGTATAGTAACGTTCTGGAGTGCCATTGTCCTTTTTCGGTGCAATTGTCGTACTTCATCTTTATATTCCTATAGACTCCTCTTCCGACGATGATGACAGTTTGGTGGAATCATTGAAGAGAAGATCTCAGGCCTCAATAAAGCACAACTCTGGTCTCTGTAAGTAATTTAACGCTGGAAATTTAGCTTGGTGAACATCATATAACCATGATGATGCTAAGATATTTGCAAAACTCCGGACCTCAGATGTCTGCTGTGGGGAACGAACGCGCTATTACTCTTTCCGGCGGCAATCGCGTTCACCACCACATGATGGTCCTTCGTCTCGTCTGTCTCTCAGCTAGTTTTCTATTTGCCACTGCCATCAGCATCAGAACATAATATATTTTATACACGAAACTGTGTCCACCAATGCTCGGGAAAAGTCTTTCACTGAGTTTGGGTTCACTAAAATTCTTTCTATTTGGTACATTTATTAGCGTATTCGCGGCGATGCTGCTTTTTTCGCCAACTGCTGAGAGTTCTTGTATAACTAGGGTAGTTAAGAACTTAATGACTTAACAGGGTTACAAAATATACGAATGTACCATATTACTTTAATAGTGGTGTCACTTTTTAAGTAGGGTTTGCACTTTTTTTTAAACACCGTTTAGGAAATATTAAGAAAGTAGAAAAAGGTTTGTAGGGTGGAGAGAATTAGAATTTTATCGTGCCATAGTTTTATGAAAGCTAGTGTTTTGTTAGCGAAAATTCGTAGGCTTCAATAGCTTTCTATTTCAGTCGTTAGACTTCACTATGAGGTACATCTCGTTAAGAAAGCTAAGTTATTTTCGACTACTTATGCGTTGACATGTTGGTTATCTCCTCGAATGTGTAAACTTAAGAGTCGTTGATTTTTCTTCTCAGTTTGGTTCCCTGATTAGCTCGTCAAAATGTGACAAGAACTACATCATGTAGACGGTTTCTTTTTTTACTCGAAAAAAGTGCAAGAATTTTCCTTCTGTGGAACATCTCCAACATTGGTAGTATTTTTTAAAAAGTAATTCATCTACAGGAGTCATTGGCGAAACATCATGTAAGTTTTGCGTGTAAGTTAGCTAAGTTAGCTTAGATTTACTGTGTTTTAGGTCCTTCAAGCAACGGAGCTGTAAGTTTTTCGACTCCTCCCGATGTTACAGGAGGTGCAGCTGTTGAAGCTATGCTACGGAGAGTTCAAGAACAGCATGAATCTAAGCCTCAAGTAAGAATTCCAACTTGTATTTTTATGGTTTTGTAGCGTATTATTTCAAACATATTTGCTCCTCTCTTATTCTTTTATTTGATGAGTAGCAATCAATGACTTTAAATGACTTGGATAGATATACACATATTCATTTCCACGTCCTTGAGTATACATTTTTTCTATACTTGGATACTTGGATGGTCCGTCCCCATTGGTTGTGCGGGCCATAGCATTGTCTCCGTTTTTCTTCGGAGATTTGCTGGTTTGGCCATTATGGTTCCTTGGAATCCCGAGGTTAGTTTAGCCAAAGTCTGCTCCAGGTCGTCACCACCACAGGCAGTCGCAGCTCCTGTGGATCAGAGGGAGATTTGCCATCATGCGACTAATTTGAAACCAGGACGGTGAAGGATCTTGGTATTTTTCTATAGGGATTTAAACTTGATTATTGTTACCGAATGGAAGTTGGTTACGCACCTGCATAGATAGAGTTTGAATATTCAGTGGAAGAAAATTTACCAGCCATAATCATGCTGAGATATTTGCAAAACTGCGGTCCGCAGTTGTTTGCAGTGGGGATCGAACACGCTATCACCCTTTCTAGAGGCTAACTCACTCGCCACTAGACCATGCGGGTCCTTCGTTTCGCATGTGTTTCAGCTAGTTTTCTGTCTTGGCAGGAAGGTTAGCAGTTCATTCATCCACTAATTCAACAACTGTTGCCAGATTTTATTTCTAAACGTTTAGTAACTATTTAATTTGGAGGGACGTGTGATAATCCGATTACATTTGTTACATAGAAGGCGCTCGATGTCCCCTGATTTCAATATAAATGATGCAAAAGCCAGTGGCCGCTGTGAAGTTTAAACCAGTATATCGCAGCTCTTAGCAAATTCAACCAACATCTTCATTTTTTTGCGTCAGCACTCATTTTTCGGGCACGAAGGCAATTGAACAATTATGATCTCGTCTAGCATTACACAAAGGTTTTTCCCACTTTACCGATGATTCAAAAACTTCAGTTCTATAATAACTGTGATTTGAAGAAATATTTCACAAAACTTGTATATGTCTTTAAATCCATAGATAAAGTGTCATCTGCAAGCCTTTGAAGTTTTGAACTCTTAACATTTCTGTCCAGTTTTAGAGAACTTGTTGAAAAACCAGCATCGGACTTGTTTTCTAGTGATGGTGTGCTAAAATCAATTGTGCTAATTTCCTTCTCTTGTACATTCTCTCAATAAATACAGATTCATCGTGAAACCGAAGCTAGTCCAAAAATGACGTCATCCTCTCCGGATGTTGATGCGGGCAGAGTTCCGGTGAAGTCAGGTGGAGGTGTTGACCAATCAAGCATTGGTGGCGATGTTGAACAGGTTAATGATTGACTAACTTTATTACTAATTAATTACTAGCTAACTACCTAACTTTGTTTAATGACTTCGACTGGTATGGTTGACGTAAGGTTTGGAAAATGTTGGTTTTCGCTTTAAGAGGAATCGCTGTCGCGATATGGTCATAGATGAGCAGAGTTTGTTGTTAAGAGCTTGTAGGACTTCAAGTAGTACAGATTGCAAAGCGTTGAAAGTCTTCAATTAACTGCTTCTATTGTGGATAGATTAAAAGAATAAAAAACAGGTGAAATGAAATTTCAAATAAATAAAACTGCAAGGTAAAATGGAAAATTTTGAGTAAATGTCATCAAATATTATTGCTTGATCCGCGTTATGTTAGATTTCTCTTGGTTTTTTCTTACTTATAGAGGTAGGAAATGTATAGTATTTGCTAAAATGTTTTATTATGTGGTTGATGTCGTTAAGCGTTGTTAGAATCAAATGTTTTTTCAAAAACACTACAACAGAAGGGATTCTTTTGGAAACAAAAAGAAAGCTTTATTCCATTTGGATTCATTTTAGCCCAGTTTGTTTAATGGGTTCGCTATTTTAACAGTTGGTGTTCCTTTTGGCCTTTCATGAGTTACTGCTGTTTTAACTTCTTAGTGTTTGGTGCTTTCGCAGGAGACATGATTGACCTTAGAAAAAGTAACGTCCAATTTAGCAAAAAAACTGTGAGACTTCCGCCATTTATTGCAGTTAAAGTTTTTAGGTAACATGTCTGAAAGATGAAGCCGTTTACGTTAACCGAGATAGATTAAGATCTCCGAACGGCCGTACAACACCACCGAATTTGAATTACCAGAATGCCGTTTTTCGTGAGTGGTTTTTTAAAGCAAACTTTGTAGCAGGGTGTTTTATCTACACACACTTCGGTCACGACTACACACCCACGTAAGGTACTTTTATCATTGGTGTTTTCTGGGATAGGCCTGCCATCATTCAGATGTTTGCAGTTGTTGACCTTCTTTAATGGTTTTAAATTTGAATAACTCATGAAGAACTGTCGGTTAAAATTACTCAGAACAAATTCTAAAACTTAAAAACTGTTTTTAAAGGAAAGTTTGCGGAAATAATGTACATGTTTCTAGTGCAAAAAAAGTTGCCAAAACTATCACACAAGCTGCAACAAGTGGTGAACTGCTTACAGGTATGTTTTCCTATACATGTACACATTTTTCGTCATTGATTTCCTTGCAAAGTTCGCGCTAATTGTGAGGGTAATGTTTTTCGTATGTGAATTGGATCACTGCCATTGTACGAAGACAGCGATCGTATCACATTTCGCGCATATCAATGATCACGCTCCTGTGGTGCTCAATCATAGTGTGTTGCTGAGTCAGACTGAAAAAAATATGATGGATGGAGAGAACGAGATTGAATACTATCGTCTTGTTTGATTCAGAGAGCTTCTCTGAATGTTTGGCTTAAAAAACCTTTTCGGTTCTCGAGGTTGTCAATCGTTCATTGTTGTTTACTCTCAGCGTATTATACTATGATTAACTTAAATTAATACGGACATAGAGTTTCATCAAGCGAGTCGCAACATCACTTGACAGAGAATTTCACTACTTGGGTTTAGTGAAATACCTGAAGTATGTAAACTATGATGTTGATTTAGGTATGGTTCCTTTTCATAAATTTCCAGACGGGTAGAGCACTAAATTAGTTGCGAGCTGTTCTTTCTCAACTTCTTCATCATTACCTCTTATACGGCGTTTTTATTCTGGTCTCTGACATTATTACTCACATTTTTTGTAATCACTGGGGGACAACAACAATAAAATCTTCTTTATCACAAAAAAGTTGGTTTGCAAGAGATGTTAGTTTCGGTGCGTTTCCATAGCTGTTGGAAATTTCTCGCATTGTGTAGATGAATGTACCTTAAATTATCTCCAAAATCTTAGATTTTTCGAAATATTCTCCCATTTGGAAATCCTTTCAACGTGAGGAACTACGTGGCATGTTTTGAGTGACAGACAAAAAGTTCATCGTGAACTAGGGCTGACTGCGTACTTACCCTGCCACACAGATGAATGTAGGGATGGGTTGCCTATGTCCGTTTGATGTTATTACTTGAACATTAGCACCTTCATTCGCTGAATTATTTTATAGATTACGCATGCATTCAGGTAAATCCATACATACGTGCATTGCTGTGTCCGTATGCATGTGGTTTATATCATGCTAGTCCACTTTGCCAAAAAATTGCAGTAAAGTGGGCTAGGAAGAAAAATATCTATAAGTGTACTCAGTTCACAAGGGTGCTGAGATACAATCAAAACTATGAATCTTAGTTAGGCTTCGAACGCGCAATCATCTTTGCTGGGGATCATCTGCTATCGACAACTCCAACAGTGGCCCTTGCTTTGTCCTTTCCTCGGCCACTTTTTTCTTTACTCTATCGGTGCTATGAGCAATCATCCGTCACAGGCATTGATCTTGGTAGCACAAATCGGCATCGAACCCAATTATGCTGAAGATGCTATAAAAATGACAGTGTTTTTACTTCTATTTGATGCCCTGCTTCAGCTTAACTGAGTTTGATGGCGATCTGTGCTTCCCAAGTTACTCCTGTTAACGGGTTATTGATGATAGAATCGATAAAGTAAAAACATGCTTGAGGGAAAGACAGGACAAAAGCCTCGGTTGGTGTGGTGGTTACCACGTAAGTCTCCGGCATGGGTAGTCGCAAGTTCAAACCCAAATGAGTATCCGAGTTTTGCTGATACCTCAGCTTTCTGGCTATATTTCATATCGTATTCTGGCATCGAAAAAGAATAGGTAGTAAGTAAGAATTAGAACAATGTATGATTTGATTTGTCCCCGTAACGTAGAATACAGAAGGCGACGTATTGGTCGATGGCATCTTCAGCACCGATTTTGTCGTTGAACGTTAGTCCCATTAAATAGTCATAGAGTATGGAAAAACTGGTTGTCAGTTGGCGAGAGATCGTATGGGTACTTTGCGTGAGATAGAGTTTCGTTCAGTCAACTATGCATCGCTGGTTGTGCGACACCAGTACGTCGTCACCCAAAAAAGTTTGTATTATAATGGTTGAAGGGGCATTCCAGTTGTTGTTACATTTTGTTGGTTTTCCAACAATCCTATCTGGTTTGGTCGCGGTGGCAAGGCACCGAAAAGACTGCAGTACGATTGCGCTCGGCAGCGCTATGTGAATAGACGTGAACTGAAACATACATGGCCAAAAGTCCGGTCCTATACTCTGAACAAAACCAAGGCTTCTTTATCTTTAACTCGGAAGAATGATACTAAACCTGACTGGGAGGTTAAAAAATACTGACTTAATGCATTATGGTTTCTATGATACATTAAGCCATTTCAACCTATTGTATAGGCTAAATATTCATTCAATCACCTCATCGATCCTTAATAGAGTGAGATGTATGATCCCTATGGTCGTAGTCCTCTTCAAATGCTTCGAACGTTTTACCCTTTTTTGTCCTTTTTCCAGTAGGTGATACCGTATGTAAGGATGACACTTTTTTTCGGTAAATATTCGACGTCCTTAAGTGATTGGGGTGTCATTTTCTTCGAACTATTGCTCTGAACATTGCCGATTGTCGTAAACTATTCCCCAATCAATAAATGGTTAATTTTGTGCAAAGGAAGCTCAGAGTAGAAATATTTTGAAAACCGACTTTCCTTCAATCTGGCCATAACTAATCAATATGTGTCCTTTTAATGGTAACCTAACAAGAGGTTGATAAAGGACTTATTTGGCTAACATTTTGTCGAGGAGGTCTAAGGCGCCCAAACGGGACGAAGTTTGTTGTCACCCCTGTGTTAGCTTATCAATGAATGAAGACATATAGCTCAGAATGGATTTCATAAAGGCAGTCCATCTACTCATCATTAAATTCTTGTGAGATCCACTTATGAAGCATTTTTGTAATCTTTCGAAACGTTATCATGGGACTTATTTTCGGTACAAAATGTTTTGAACCATTTCCATATTGTGACTTCGGAGGTGTTTGTTTGGCTCTTGCTCCTACGTTTCGAGTTGGTGCTGCTGCATTGCACTTGTATTTGAGAGCGTTATTATGATAACCCTGAAGTTATTCTCAGTTAAGTTTTAGACCAACATCATTAAATAGGATCATTCCCGACCGTTTCTTTTTACAAAGGAACTATTCCGGTCTGTTTAACAAGTTATTTTGAGCGTTTCTCTCACATGCGAAATGCGTTTCTTATGGAATCGTTCGAATTGGATATGTTCAGCACCGGTGATGCATGTGTAGCGAACTCGTCAGTGTAACTAGCCTGTGGTTGGCTGCAGAAAGGCGGCTGTCACCGCCCTGTAATAACATTTGCTGACTATCCCGAGAATTCCACGTCTTTTTTAATCGACAATATTTGCAATAACAAGCGTTCTTAACCGACTATCGCTTCATGTTGCCAGCACTTGCACTAACGAAGACGAATCGCGATGGAGCGGTAAGAAGAATTTCGATGAGTGAAAATCATCGTGAGTATCTGACTAATCTGCGGAGTAGAAGAGCGGCATTATTGCGGGAGGAAAGAACCAGAGCAATTCGATGGTGTCTCGATGAAAACCAGAGGAATTGTCGCTCTGAATTAAGGCGCAATGCTGAAGACAAGATTGATGAGGAGTCATTTGAAACGATTCGAGGCGATCCTAGTAAGCGTCGTAACTCGAGCTATATTCCTCAGCATATCCCAGAGGATATTTTTGCCCGACCTGATAAAGGGGATTTGGACTCCAAACTCGAAGATAGGATTCATGGGAGTGGACATTATGATGAGGAGAAGGAATCGTTGTTTGCTACACTACGGATTGGATATAATGGTAGAATTGACGTTAACGACCTACCGCGTTGCCTCCTAAAGTCAAGTTGGGTTAGTTCATGAATTCCTTTCGTCTTGTGTATATCTTTCCTTGTTATAAAAACTGGTATTTTCTTATTCCTGTTATTTCTTGAGCTGAAGCAGGTGTGCTGATCCGAGAATCAGAAATGGGTAAAGGGCACATTGAATGTGATGCATTTTCACATCCACATTCATCGATTTTCATCACATCGAGCTCTGGTCTGAATTTAAAACATCTACTTGTGTCTTTCGTGACGACTCTGCGTTGAGTTTTCTCCTAGTAACACTGTCTAATGGAAAGGAAATAGACAGAGAGACCCATCATTAGGAGTATGGGATGCACATCTCCACATGTGGATGTTGAGGCTTTTGCAGAAAAGTAGCTGTGGGTCGTAAAAAGAATGTAGTCGTTCATCATAAATGATGGATCATAAGTGGAATAAATATTAACGAGTAATTCTTAAATTCAAATCAGTAAGACCTTGATTTCCATGACAACTACACTTTTGAACTTTTCATCGTCCAGAATAAAACGCCACGTTCAAAACTGTTGTAGCTCCACTTTTGATTTATGTTTGTATCCTGTACTAAGATGGAATAGCCCTTGAAAGTAATGAATTACGGCAAAACATTCTCCCCACTGTATTTCAATGAAGAAAGTGCAGTCTGAGGAGTAGTGGATAATAAAGGTCTGAGCTTTTTTAGTTGGTTATTCTATCTTTGGTGATTCTTCCGTGATAGTGCTGTTTTTCTCTAGTATTATATTATTTTTCATTAGTATTATTTTTGGCCTTCCTCTGATACTACCAGTTATAACATCTATCTTAGGGAAGTTGTGAATTTAATACGGATTCCGGTAAAAGAAAAACCTACTGAATAGGAAACGAAAAGGGACAAACGCATTGGAATCAACGCATATGATCGAAGATATGTGAATGTTTATATTTCAGAGACCAAGCACGCAGCCGTTGTCAGAGTACTACAAAGACTATGACGCAGAGCTAGAAGGTAGTTCGGAAAATTCCCGTTTTCGGATTCATTGGCATCTAAAATGGGGGAATTTCGAAAGGAGTGAATTGCTAGTTTTGTTGTTCACATCTTTAATAGAGTGGATCGCAATTCATAACTTTTTCTTTTCTAAGGTGATTTCCAATGGCATGTAATCTCTCCGTGACTGATAACAAGAAAAAAGAAAATGGTATAGAAGTGTTTTCATGCAAACGAGGGTTGTTTTCTTTCTTGAGGTATTTAGCTAGATATTAAATATCTAGCAGCTGCTGAGTTCGTTTTTCATCGTAGCATGTGTTTAGATGGCGAGTAGGACGGATATCCTCATTGATCAAGCATCACACCTATAAAGCATTGTCACGGGAAGAAGTGCCGCATCGTAAAACCATGTTGTTTCCCTTTGAGACCTAGTTGTTATAAAACTGCCTACTGAGTTCGTAGTTACACGTTCATGACATTTTTGCTAAAGGAACTTGTAGTTATTTCTGAAGAGGCGGTGAACACTTAACGCTTGCGCGGTAAACCTGTGCGAATGTGTTCCAGTGTCGTCACTACAGGCAATTAGTGTGAACCGGAGAGAGCTTTGCTAAGTTGCTAGCAGAATGGTGGTGATTTCCGGATTTTCGGTGGTAAATTTTGAAGAATTTGGTTGGCTCTAGAGACCAACTGGAATTAAGCCAACTGCTGCACATCGCGTTTCAACATTCAAGAGCACTTTGCAGTGGAAATCAGCCAGCTGCTTGACCAGTGTATTGAAGTAAAGCAAAGTAATAGTGCACATCGGGGACCTTTGAACACTCCGTTCATTGTTCAATGTTTTAAACTTTTTATTATATTTATTAAACGAAACACTTCGTATAGCCATCGCCAAGATGATCGATCCTGCTGCACCTCGTCCTGAAGGCCAACTCATGACCCCTGTTCGAGGAGAGAGCGTGAGCGCCGCTGCGCAAAATTATCCAAGAAGCCTTGACAGGTATCTGTCTATGTTTCTTCACATTGTAACTTGGAGAACTTGTATTGTAAAGGTACAGTATACCACTATTATGTATTTCATATCTTCTCCTAGTTAAATGTGTGGGAAAATCATTCTTAAGATTAAGATTATTCTCCTGACATTTTCAAGTTGAATCAAATTCATCGTGGCATTGTGACGAAACTTTCAGTTAGTGATACGAAAGCAGTACAGTGCCTCCACTGTAAATATTTGATGTATAAAATGAAGTTTCATACGTTTATGGAGTTCGTGGTAGTACCTTGAAGTGGTGGATGACTCTTAATATGTTAGAAATAAGATTTTAGTGCTCTTCATCGATATGGTACGTCAGTTCCAAAGAGTGTGGCGGCTTTAGTACTCGACCAAACTGGTCGGCCAGGTCCTCAAATCACTTACGGTTAGTTAGTTCTGTATAAGTTGTGTAAGAAAGTTTGGTATGTTTACGAAACAAAGGATTGTTTTGGAGAGTTGTGCCATTTACTTTTGAATAACCTGATGAGCATTACTACACTAACACTACCAACGTAATTATAGGAAAACTGCTTAGTCGATCGAGCAAAGTCGCTTTTATGCTGTTAAATAAGATTGTTTCTGGTGGAAAGGATAATGCTAAGGCAAGAAACCGTCATTCGTTTCCATTCCCATCAAATTTTTTTTCAATAAATATAGTTATGCTCACTCTCAGATCTTCTTTCTAGGTTCCCATTTGTAAACCAGGTGATCGTGTAGCGCTTGTTTATCCAAACACTGAACCATTAGCTTTTCTGGCAGCGTTCTATGGTTGTATATTGGCTGGAGTGGTCCCAGTGCCGGTTGAGGTGCCACTGACTAAACGGGTAACATTTATGACATATCCTTTATCACAAATTCTAACACTGGTTTTAACTGAAAACTGAAACTTAAAAAAAAACTGAAAAAAAAAGAAAAAAAAAGAAAACTTAACTGAGGTATTTCAGGATGCTGGAATACAGCAGCTTGGGTTTCTGTTAGGAAGTTGTGGAGCGAAAGTTGCATTAACATCAGATACTTGCTACAAAGTGAGTGGTCGGGGTTGAAAGAGTAGAGAATTTCTACGCAGATGTATATCGACTTTTTTTTTACAATGTTCCTGTCATTAAATTATTTTATTATTAAGGGTCTTCCAAAATGCTCAGTTTCGTCTAGCCAGTTTCCACGCACTTTGCCAACTGGTTCGAGCACCTTAGTAGGTAGCCCGCAGGAGGTTGTCGATCTGAAGTCTTGGCCGCGCCTATACTGGGTTATAACGGAGCATTTGGTATCTAATTTTTGTCCATTAATTTATGATATCTATTATTGTTTCCATTTTGAACTGAAAGGGAATTTAAGGGATGTATGCGTTTTACTAGTTTTTGTAATTTCAAGGGAAAACCGTCTCGTGACTGGACAGCGCCACCTCGAGTAGCCGACGAAAGTATCGCTTACATAGAGTATTCGTGTGATCGTGACGGAGCTGTGAAAGGTGTGTGTGTATCGCGACAATCAATGCTTGCGCACTGCCGTGCCATTACGACTGCAATGGAGTACAAGCATGGTATGTTGAATTCAGCAAAATTGCCGAAGTGGTATTAATACTTGGATGGTCCGTGCTCACTAGTGTGGGCCTCAGCATAATTTCTATTGGCTCGGAATTTTGCCGGTTTAGCCACTGTGGTTCTCTAGAGTCCCGAGGTCAGCCCGCCGTTTTTGTGGTTGAGAAGGAGATTTGCCACCATAAGACTAGTTTGATACCAAGACGTTGGTGGATCCTAGTATTGGTTTACTCTTAGCTAGGTTTCTTGATGGAAACACCGGACTCCTCAGCTCGGGAGACCTTGCTGAGAGGATAAGTCCTCCGTTGTACATTACAGCTCAACACCCTGGAACGCCTCCCAACCACGATAAGGCGGGAAACCGTAGGGAGGTATGGATGTGGTATTGATAGTAATGAATATGTTATGCGCACCTTCATTTTTTTATGCATGAATGGATGTAATACATTTTTTGTTTGCGGGTTTCAAACTTAAAATCTGAAAAAAGTTTGCCTGAATATGGGAAGAGACGGTCGATTTCACCTATTACCTCTCCTTTTATTCTTGAAATCATTAAATCGTTTTTTGGGTAGTATTGCTATACTAGAACATTCTGCAAAGGTGTTCTCACACTAGTAGTTTAATATACTTCATTATATATTTGTGTGAAATCTGTAGATGCATTCCTAACGTTTTAATGAGAACTGGCATTTAGGTGAGACTATGATTTGTGTGTTGGATTTTAAGCGAGAAGTCGGTTTATGGCATGCAGTACTGGCTGCAGTTTTTAATGGAATGCGTGTGGTTTTTGTCCCTTATTCGTTGATGAAAATTAATCCGGCAAGTTGGATGTTGATGACAACGAAATTGCAAGGTTTGATTATTAGAGAAAATTCAGCACATTTTGCTTTATTCTTAGATCATCTACCTATGTAATGTGATGTATGGTTCTTAACCAACGTAAAGCAAATGGTGGAAAACTTTGAGATGCAGTTATTTTCACATTTTTTTTTTGGCTCTTATCATTACTGTTAACGCTGACAACGATTTCAGCTTCCGTCGCATTGGTGAAATCACGTGATTTGCACTGGGGTTTATTAGCTACTCGGGACCATAAAGATGTAAACTTATCTTCTTTGCGATCTCTCGTTGTTGCTGACGGTGCGAATCCGTGGTCTCTATCATCTTGCGACCAATTCGCAGCAGTTTTCGCTGCTCATGGTCTGCGTGCTGAGGCCATGTGTCCATGCTCAGGCAGTTCAGAAACAGGGACTATTTCGTTGAGAAGGTATGCCTACTGTTTATATATTGTCTAACATCCTATAACTCAATTTACTTTTATTTCTTCTTTTAGGCGCACCTCAACCGGCAGTGGTAGCAGTGGTCGAGGAATCTTGTCAATGGCAGCGCTAAGCCATTCCGTTGTTCGTGTAGACAAAGAGAACTCGTTGACCAGTCTCACCCTTCAAGTGCGCCCTTGCAAACGATATTAATTTTTTCACTTGTCATCTGTTGAAGAAGCTCGTATTTCAGGATGCTGGCCAAGTAATTCCTAGTGGATCTGTAGTCGTTTTGAAGCAAACTGGTCCACCTCGGCTCTGTAAAGCTGATGAACTTGGAGAGATTTGCTTATGCGCGAATTCAACTGGTATTGCGTATTGGGGTTTGGAAGGAGTGTCACTTACGACATTCAAGGTAACTTCCTTGTCTTATTCATATTTCATTCTTCTGCTGAATTTCTTGCAAGCAGTACTGGTTGGAATCCAATTGTGAAAATTTAATATCGTTTTTTTCTTCCAAACTTTTTTTATATAATACGAAGTCACTTATTTAGACGGAGCCACTGGGTGTAGACGACAGGCCTCTTGGTCCTCGGCCCTACGTTCGAAGTGGCTTAATTGGTTTTATGGGTCCGGTTAGTTTATTCTCTTCGTACATTTTTAGTAACCCGTAATGCTCACTTGCGTAACCGTAAATTTTTTAATAACCCTCAAGTCCGACTTCCTGTTAACCTCGGCATTGATTGAATATATCTTTCTACTTCTGTTCAGCAAACACGAGGTGCTATTTTATTTCTTTATTTACGCACAAGCTGACGTTTCGACGGATTTCGCCTTCCTCAGAGCCTGGAAGGGTTAAGTTGACAGCAATCCATTCGGCCAAACACCTCCATAACCAAACAGAGAAAACGCTAAACCAAGATTTCAATCACATTTAGCATAGCTCTGCACACTCACCGCTTTCTATGAGTCTTCCACTGAGTATATCGCGTGAAGACCGACCGCACAGAATTCACACGGAAGCGTAATGTGCTCCTCCCATCAGAATAACAGGCTTATATACTGTCCAATATCACGCGTGATAACGAGGCATTCCTTCCTGCGGTTCATTTTCGGATTCTTGGAATTAATCCAGAATGCCTCTAGAGTTTTGCGCGCTTGTGTTCTCGATGCTTGCGCGAGGATTGTAACCCTTACTTCAAAATCTTCTCCGTTATGTTTCTGCGTGCTATGCGTACCTTGTGGAGTACTTGGCTTACGTTTGCCGACTAGGTGTTCTTTTATACGTAAGCAGAGTGGTCTACCCGTTTCGCCAACGTATTCGTCCCCGCACGCTTTACAACAGATCAGATAGACTGTACCCGAACTCATGCAGTCACCATCTCTACAATTAGGGCATATTATGCAATTTTGCGTTGCACATAGACGGTCGTATAGGCGGTTACGAACTAGCTTGCGCCTTAGATTACTCGGTGGTATTTCGATTATCGTTACCAAATTCTCTAGACTGGCCCTTCTTAAACAGCGTTTTATATCTGCACTTACTTCATTTGAAATGAAGGGCAGTAAAAACGGGACCGAAGTACTGCGCACCTGTCTACGAAGCAAACAAAACCAGATGTTCGTTAAGTGGAAGAAGCGCGAGAAGAAAGAAAACTATTGTGCTCAGTATTTGGAGGACCGCCTCTGGAGGGAATAGTGGGTGGGTCAGTGTTGATTTGCAACACTATTAGGTCTAATGCTAAAGTAACTTTGCGGAGAAAATTCGAAGACCTTTTGAGTAAATCGCATAACACGGCTTCAAGAGCACACAGAAACACCGCCAACGAAGATCAAACGATTCACAGTAGGATAAATAATGTGCAAAGAAATTCAAGGTCGAGCGAGGCATAACCCTCTCTGACGGTGCGCGCTCGTTATTAGAATTGGGACCGAGTTTCTCACCATCTGAACCCATTTCTAGGGTAACCTTGCGTAGGGTCGCATGTAGTTTACATGAACTTCAAGATAGACTCCGCAAAAAAGCTAGGGATGAAGCGCAAAATAGGCGCGAACAACAAAAAGCAGGGGCAATACCAGTACCGCCATTTCCTCAACCGTTCTTTAGACAACAAGAGCCCATTAATGAAGTTGATGTTAAATTTCGGATGTTTATGAATGAAACTTTCAAAGTCC